ATAGCTGTCCAATCCTCCAAACAAAACTAAACTCGAAACTAAACAGATACAAATTAGTGACTTGTTTCAAAAAATGGAAATAGGCGCATTGTTTTGGGAACTCTTGATACCACTGAAATTCGCTGAGTCAGAATACGATTCATTTCTTGTCATATTTGTTATATTTAGCTCATTCTTCTTTTTGATCTTTGCTTTAAAACAGCTCTCCAAATTTCGCATATGAGCACGAGTTTACAGCTCAAACAACACTCAATCATAGCAAAGACTCTAAAACTCGGAGATTCAGAGCATAGGCTTCCCGAGACGGCAGCAGATCTTCCGGGTTTACAAAGTTGATCTGGTGGTTGACAATGAAATGATGGTAAGCGTTTGGCAGTAAAGTAATCCCACTGTAAGCTCTTCACAATGGATTTTTGAGGTCTTACATGTCGCTGAATGATAGGAAGAAGGGTTGCAGCTTCGCGCTTGCCCATTGAACAACTGCTTGCTGAACAACTGCAACAATCGACCCAAACGAGGCCTTTCCCTTCACGTTCTGCATTGAGAACCAAAGTTTGGATGGCTGGAAAGTGGAGGCTATCGAATCGGTGAAGACTCTATTGGGTGCCGAATCGACGCGACTGATAAACTCATGAACGTTAATTGCTTAATTGCTTGTGCTGTCTCGTCTCGTTTAAAGAGAAAATAGGTGAAACTTTGATAGCTATTCTGGCTTTCTTGATTGATTGATTGATTGATTGGTTGATTGATTGGATAAATCAAAATTTCGGACATTCATGATCCGATTTGCATCGGGTTAATCCAATGAAGTTCATCTTCGGATCGGGCTACGATAAAATCAGATCATCGACAAGACGGACTGATAGAAAGCTCGCAAGCTAAGTAGTGTGTTTTGTGATGCTAAGTAGTGTGATGGTTTTTGCTTTTAAATTTGTCATCTGTGTCATCCACCTCTACAGCAATTGACATTGATGAAAAGAATTGATTTCTTTCTTTGAGCATTTGATCAGAACAGGTGTCTTTGAGAGAGTGTCTAGTCAAATTGCACCTGAGTCAGATTTTCTTTACGAAAATAGATTACATATTGCACAATTTCTACATTTATTTTTCTACATTTATTTCGTTTTCGAATCGATTTCTTAATGTCCACTTCGCTGAGTGTTGTCGATGTGATCGACGTGAGCTCATACCCTGGAATTCATCGAACGTTCGTCCTCTTTGGCAGTCAGTTCTTGTTGATTATGTCTACTTTTGAGTTAAGATGGCTTGGCTTTGGCTTTGGCTTGGCTTTGGCTTGGCTTTGGCTTGGCTTTGGCTTGGCTTTGGCTTTGGCTTTGGCTTTGGCTTTGGCTTGGCTTTGGCTTGGCTTTGGCTTGGCTTTGGCTTGGCTTTGGCTTGGCTTTGGCTTAGGAACATGATCCGTTTGCAGTTCCGTGCTTTTTCTTCAACCTCTTCGGCATCTATGTGATCTACGTGGCGACACCGAAACGAATCGGCAACTACAAATTCTTTCTTATGGCCATGCAGGTGTCTCATTTAAATTTAAAGAATCAAAGGATCGAAAGATGGAAAGATCGAGGGAACTTCCAGATAAATGGCACCATTTTCGATTTCGTATGCAATCTGGTGGCTTTTCCGATATTTTCCTTTCCAGCCGGAGGTGCCTACTTTTTGGGTTTCGCTAGCGGGATGGGTATCCCGGGCCTTTTTCAAGCTGTGAGCTTTTTTTGTGTGGCATTGAACCTACAATATTTCATAAGTTTCACATTTTCACAGCTTTAACTTTCAACTACAGACAAGGGAGTTACAGACGCGCGAAAGTGACGATCGTTTTTCAAATATGATATTTCATTGTCCATTACTGTAAATCTGAAGCATCTAAATCAAAATTGTCCATCGTCTGACTAATCAAGAAGCCAAATAAAAACTTTTCAGGCTTTAGACTTAACTTTATTTCTCTATTTTGTCGCAATCATCGGAGTGACAATCTTCCAAAAGCAACAATCAATTCTCCCGGAAGGACACTTGCTCAAATTGGAGAAGAGGTGAATCCAGAATCTAGACTTGCAAAATTTAGCACTAAAGCACATTATATCACAACAATGCTCACCCCGAGAACACTTCCAAAAGCAACAATCAATTCTCTTGACCTCTTCGAAGAATGCAGCCAATGAACTTTATTGGATTGATTCGATCCGAGCCATCGGATCAGCATGAATGACTAGAGTTGAATGTCCAAAATTTTCATTTATCCCAATCAAACAATCAAGCTAGAATAGTTATCGAAGTTTCGCCTGTTTCCCGGGAGGCAATATTAGCTTGTCAATGGGATGAGATCCTCTGGGGAAGAGTCAGGGACAGCCTCTCTCAGCTCTCCAAGTCGAATTTTTTGGAGCGTTATCCCTAACAATTCACATTCTCAATAGGGCATTTTGATCAGTGACAGACAGCCAGCTCGAATCTCTAAAAGAAAAATTCTGTCTTGTTTCAATTGGTTCTTTACCTTCTCTTTCGGATATCTTTTGGTGATGAGCCTTTGAGGTAAAGAAACTCTGAATGATCTCAACGTCATTTCAGATTTAAATTCCTCGTTGAACTCGTGATTCTCTCAAATCCACTAATTATTGATGTGGTCTTGGCTCTCCTCTTGCCTCTCAATTCCTACGATAGAGACAACTACGCGATGGTGAGAAAAATTAACGGGATCATGAGGATTGTGCCGAATGGAATTGCCATTTATCAGGGCCTTCGCTTTGTGCGAGTCTGATATGAAAATGTAGTCCTTGAATTGGGCTGCACGATAGTATAACAAAAATTTAGAAAAACTGTTATTTAGTACAAGAAAAATAGGCGTAAAGTGAAAGCACCAACACTACACACCCATACAAAAGACGGTCGTTCAAAAGCCGTCGTTGTTAGTATTGCGATGTACAGTCGGTGCTTTCACTTCCATTCGCCGCAATTTTCTTTTTTACACAGCTGTTAGCCCCCTTTGGAGTGAGGGAGATCAGCTGCTTTGTGGTGTAATGGTTAGCACAATTGGCCAGTAAGCGAAAGGTCGCGGGCTCGAGTCCCGCCGGTGCACAATTTTTTTAATTTGCTCTTTTTTAATCAACTCAAATCCCAAAATAACAATGTCGTCTTTGTAAACAACAAGTTTTCAAGCGATTTCCGCAAATGAGGGCTTTCATTCAACAACCGAACTACTATGGAATAGATGGAGAGATGCTCAGAGTGCTCGTTCCACTACATATTTTCTATTTCTCTCTTTTCCCCATAATAGGATCGGGTTTGTGTCACTTTTCGTGTGAATTTCCCCTCGATTCAGCCCTGATCTTTCCTACCTATTTGAGTCTCTATCAACAACAGCATTTGATGAGTGAGAGAACGTTGCGATTTCAACGCAAATGGCTTCGAAATCTCAATTTTCAGGTATTCTCACAGAGTTTTTGGATAATCTTCCGAAAAATCTAGATATAATTTGTCCAAAACGTAGTCGTTTGTAGAAATTTCTATGCAATTAGCAAAGTTTAATTGGGGATTCAGTAGGAGAGGAAGAGTATTTGCTAAAGTGGCGCACAATACAACAAATCATGAGCTGAATTCGGTGAAGAACATCATAGAATATGATTGTAAGATTGAGCTGTAAGAACTCAGGTCGCCACATTCATCATTTTGGTTCTCATCCCGATCGGTTGGTTCCTCAACATCGGCTCCACGCAGGATTCAAATTTGTCAAGTTGGTTTGGTGTCGATTACACTCAAACGGCTATCAAACAACTGATTCTGATTGCTAGCTTTATTGACGTAATTTTGATTTGTATTCTGATTTCTCAGAATATTCGATTTGGCCAACAATGATTGCCGTGTTGCATGGCACTTGCTCGACGATCGTTCTTCTCCTTTTCTATGACGCCTATCGGGAATACGTGATCGATCTCGTTGCCGGCAAATGGACGAAACAGAGAAGGCAGGTAGTCGACGATGAAGATAATTTCCAAGTTCGAAAATCGAAACAATTGTCAAGAAGACAGGCGGAAAGGATATCGGTTTAGGATACCGGTGCTATTCGTCCTCCTCGTTACATATTTTTAGGTACTTGGAATTGGTGTCGTTGACGGTGTCGAAGGTGTTGTGACAAAGCCGATCGAAGGTGCTAAACAAGACGGTTGCTAAACAAAAACAACAACCAAATCGTTATGCGGTAATAGAAGTTTCACACCTTGATCTTTCATTGTTTTTTGCTTATTTATATCTTTGCACTAGCACTACTGATATTGTTTGGCTTAACCAACTGATCAACTTTCAATCTAGGGCATTCAACAAGCGATCATGAAAGCCTACGAGAATGCGACAAGGAAGTGATCGATCGTCGCTGACAACTGTGCATTTTTATGCTTAATTTAGCATATTATTAATTCATGTTTCTTTTGTTCCTTTTTGCATTGTGTTTTTCTGTGTTTTTAAAATTTCGAAGTTACGTATTTGGCTTCTTCTTTTTGCATTTTTGCCTATTTCTTGCGAATTAGCCAAAAGGCCGAATTTAACTCGGTCGATAGTCACTTGCCTCAAATTTTCATCGATTTCATCGAAGGAAACGTCCTTCTCGAAAAAAAACCCACATTCGAAGTTTACTCTAATTATTTATAAAATATAAAGAAAACGAGCATAAAACACACACAAAGAACTTCCAGGTGGACAGATAGACATGGGCAAAATCGCCCGAAATGCAATTATGTGCAAGATTAAGCAGTTTAAGGAGTCATAGCTGTCCAATCCTCAAACTTTGACAAAGTTTTGCCAAGATTATCAATTAGCAAGATTTTTAATCTAATCAAGAATTAATGCTTTCGCTATTTAAATTTAGAGCAACCTCAATTTCAAGAAACAAAACATTTATTGCGGAAAATACAAACAACATACTTATACAATCTATGACAAGCATATCACAAAAAGAAAAGCATTAAAACCCGTTCAAATTACACGATTTCTTTCCATCATTCGCGGGCGTAGATGCAACTTTGAATCCATTTTAATGGCAGGAGTTCTTGCACCTGGCTTTTCGTTAGACCATCTAATCACAAAATTACATTTGAATTTCTTCAGCTAAATTTTCTTACCTAGCTTGCGTCCCACCATCTGAACATCTACGCGTAGACTTTTTGGGATTCCATCAATGAGTAATTCCTAAATCTGTATTTAGCATTTAAGTGATAAACCTACGTACATGATGCTTGAAAACGTTCGCTCCGTACCAATAAACTCCTTCCAACGATAGGGCTAGCATGCGAGCAGCAGTCTCTCGAGCGCACGGCTAAAAGTGTAGAAGTTTAAACTATTATTGTATTAAAATTAGTGCTTACATCTTCTTCATTTTCTATCAGTCGTGCAAACGCATTCAGAACTTTCTTGGCCTCGGTGTTGAAACTAGATAAACTTAGATTGGGCAAGAGAAATTTAGGCTCTTGCATGGTTTAGGTGACAACTTTGACTTTTTGAAGCTTGACTGTCAATTCAAAAATCATCGAAACCATACAAGAGCGAAAATTCAACTTACTCGCACATGCGCTTTTCTGGATCGTAGAAGAGTAAGTAGGCCAAAGGGATACATTTAAGGGCGCTGTGATAGTCGAGGTTTTCAGTTTTGCTGCTAAAGAGAAATAAGAAACAAAATTAAACAAAAAGGTTACTATTTTTCTTTTGCACCCATTAGTTGACAGCTCCATAAATCAGCTTCTAAAATGTCAACAAGAAGACTCTGTAAGGTGGGTGAAGGAAGTGGAGGATCTTTGGACTTGGGATCGGAAGAGACGTTGGTGGCACTAAAACAATAACCAGTTTAAATATTTAATCCATGATTTACCCAAAAGCTTGAAGGACGAGCTTCCGAAAAGATTGCGCACGAGAATTTAGGTCATTTATTGTACCCTAAAATTATAAAATCTAGAGCTACTTAAAAGATCCCTACTGAAGACGGGTCGTTCTTCCGAGCTGTCTTTTGAACAATTTCCTTTCCGAAATAGTCGCAATTCGATTTGGATAGTACTAAAAACACAAATTATGAGGACTCTTGAAAAAAATACCTTGAAGCCAGTAGTAACGTAGAGTAACGCTGCAGGGAGGAGATGAAGTGAGAAACGACTGTAGCAGCAAAAAGATTTGTTCATCCAATCGCGATTCATCTGCATAATTAGGCTAAAACAAAAGCAAATTAGCTGCAACTCTAATAAACTTACAATAGCGATGTCATGAAGGAGTCTTGAAAGGACATTTGCTTCTGGTAAGAAGTTTGGCCCAATAGAACATCTAAAAAAGACCCAGCTCAGAAATGTTAAAAATTTGATACGCACCTAATCAAATCGACAAGTTGTTTCGCCACAAGCAAATGCATCTTCCTGTCCTTCTTAGGATATCGCTTGAATTCATTCCATATCATATTGAATCGGGACAGCATCTCTGGTGGGTGATCAGCGGTAGTCTGAACAGTTATTTAGCCCTTCTTGCTCACGACAAATACAAACCAAATTCCGGTTGTGAAGAGCCTCTCTGACACGCATTTTTGCACCTGGCACGGTTGAGCTCCATTCGTACGTATCGTGCACCATGAAACGACCTAGCTCTGCTTCCGGCAACGGGAATGAATAAATCTAGACGGAATAGATTATTACGGGAAACCTAGCGGAACAATAACGCTTCTTGAATACAACTTTCTTCTGTAACCGAAGCTTTGTTGCCACCAAGAAATCAAAGCATTCTGAGAACTCCGTTTTTAACAAGAAATCTAATATAATACCTCTATTCCAAAGTCGCGCAACCCAAAGTTATTGTCGAATGTGCCAATGGGCTCTGAAATCGGAGACATAAGTGGTGAATGTGATGGTGGAGAAGACTATAATATTAAATTAAAGGATCTTTATTAATAAGAACCGGCTCTTGCTCTTCGTTCAACAAAATTTCTGCTTGAAACTCGGCCAATAGATCATCACAATCCAGGTCATCTTCGCTTTTCATTTTTCGTCGTTTCCTAGAAAGAAGATATGATTAGATAATTGGAAATGTTAAAGCATAAAAGGAAACATATAAGTTAGCGGACAATGTGATTTTATTTTAGTTATTTTAGTGGCTCGGCACTTCAATCGTACAATAGAATTTGAAAATATTTTACTCTTTCATTATTAATTCTTTTAAACAATTGCATTAAAACCGACAAAGCTTTCTTTACATCCGATGAAGTTGTCTTTGATCCAGAAGGTATTTCAGCATTATTCCTAAAATTTTCATAACAACCTTCATGAGGGTCCAAAGCCTACTTGATTATTTGATTGTCCTTCAAAGCTTTGTTCATGTTTCGTTTCGAAACATCTCGCTCTAAATAAATAGATTTTTAAACAAAACTTTTAAAAGTCACTTGTCAGGCGCTCCTTCAATACATCCGGCATCTTCGTATCATTGCTTTGTGTCGTCTCCTCTTTCTCTTTATTTCTCACCATCTAAAGTAAGAAATATAGAAGAGTCAAAAGGCAGAAAAGAAAAACGAGAACAGCAAGCGTGTACGGTGCAAAATAGCGGATATACATTAAGCATAGTTCTTTCAAAAAGATAGGTGCATCTTCGTATCATTGCTTTGTGTCGTCTCATTTTATCATTTTATTGCATTTTAAAGAGACCTTAGTGTTTTCAAACAGTAATAAGTGTGAGTAGTACAGTACAGCCAGTCAGCCTAGTTGTCTGGGTAAATAAAGACTAGCACCCAGGGGTCGAATATAACCCGCGTAAATAGACGACCTGAAATCATGAAGACACAGAGAAATTGACGTACATTGGCGCCTTATGGATTCGTGAATAAGTGAGGCACCAAAGAGAATCTTTTAAACAACAATGTTTAAATTGAATATCTTTTTACATTATATTCTTTGATATATAACTTTTTTTTTTGTGAATTCTTTCTGGGAGTGAGACAAATGCGCACCTGGACATTTGCGCACCTTTTTTTTCGCACTTAGCCCATTAGCGCACCTTTTTTCGCGTTTTAAAAAAGCTCTAAAAGCTAATATTAACCAATTTCTATTCCAAAAGTTGTTTTTCTAGGTAATTTGTGGGTGTCGAATTCAAATTTTGACATAACAGAGCGTGTGGAACAAATTTGAAAGACAAAACGGCTAGGTCAAATTACAGAAAATTGTTGATTTTTCTCTTTGTATAACTCCGTCCGTTCGCTTCCACAAGCTCTGATATGCCAAAATTTCGATCCTACGCCCTAAAATTACCTAGAAAAACAAATTTTGGAATAAAAATTGGTTAATATTAGCTTTTAGAGCTTTTTTTAAAACGCGAAAAAAGGTGCGCTAATGGGCTAAGTGCGGAAAAAAAGGTCGCATTTGTCCCACTCCCTTCTTTCTTAGAACTTCTGGAGATCCTGCTAAATTTTTGGATAGACTTGCTTATCGATATAATCAATACAAACGGCATGCTCATGTTTGACCGTTCAGATCTCGTTTTCTAGAACAGCTATCAATCTGAAATTTTTTTCATTGGAAAGCCAAGAATGTCAGCTTTTGATTGTTATCTCACACATAGCAAATTCTCTTAGGTTAGTGTCTTAAAAAGCTTATCAATATTTATCGATACTCAAATATCGATAATCGATACTCTCGATATCGACAAGGTTTATGGGGTGCTTACTCATTAAAAGTCGCTATATATAAAATAGCAAACAAAAGCTGACATTCTTGGCTTTCCAATGAAAGAAATTTCAGATTTAGCTGTTCTAGAAACTGAGATCTGAACGTTCAAACATGAGCATACCGTTTCTATTGATAATATCGACAAGCAAGTCTAGTTTTGGGCTGCGCAACAAGCAACTGCAGAACTTAACTAGAAAGTATTCAAATGTTACGCAAACAATTGGTTAGTTGTGCATTTGCTTGTTGCTCAGCCCAGTTTCTTTCCAAAAGTTGTATTTTATTGTGCTAAATGTTTCTTTTTCAGGTACAACTTTCTGCTTCAAACGATACATGAGCTGAAAATGTTTTGGAAGATCTTGCTGTTGACACTTTTTGGAGGGATTCTCGCGTCGAACGAAGAATCGTATGTGGAGGAGTTGCTCATCTCAAGGCTTCCGTCGGATCATCACTTGGCACAGTTCCGCTTCATCATTACGAGCCGCTCCCTGGAACTTGGGCCTAACTATGAGCTCTTCCCGCGAGTACTTGGACAACTTCTACAAGCTCATGGCATTCAGGAACTAGAATACATTGCAACACAAGGAGTTTGGCACTCAGATCATTACGGACCACCCCCGCAACCCGCCTCATCGACAGGAGCCTTTTTGAGCGCCAAATTCGACGGGCCGTCAAACACCGTCGATGATCGCTGGCTTTCGGTGGTAAACTCTTTGAATGGCGCTTTTTGTGCATCGTTGCTGTCGATGGTGCCAGCTGAAACGTATAAACAAAAGAATGAGCGGAAAGGCGACTATCCAAAGGCAAAGAAACTCTTTTCGCGAGCTGGCACCCTTCCCAGAGAAGCACTTTGTACAGAAAATTTGACGCCTTGGAGAAAGTTGTTGCCTTGCAAGCAAAATGGGCTGATTAGTCTACTTAACCCGCATAAGCTCTACGGGTCACTGTTTCACTCGATGGGCTTTCATATTCATCCAGAGTGTAAGGACAATTCTTGTTGGTATCGACTTGAGCTTTCAGCTATCGTGCTCTTTGATGTCCCCATCTCGGAAAATAGGCGACTTGATTGGTCTTTGAAGTCATTCTTCGACCGACCAATTTCCGGCGTGTGTAATGCAGCGACACGCAGCACCGTGCTAGTGCATCAACACGAAGAGCAAGCGGATAGCGATAAACCGGCTGATGTTATCACGATCAATGGGCAACAGTTTGCCGTATACCCAACAGAGCAGATTCTTGGCGAGAAAACCGAAGGCAACATCTTTGTGCGTTACACCAAGTCGGTTGATTTGCATAAAAAAAACCCACCGAGAGCTCTGAGCATCTCATCAACACTTGGAGGAAAGGATACATTTTCTGGACTACTGCTCACAACAATCAAAAACAATGAAAATGAAAAACACACGGTTGTTTACGAGCAAGTGTTGCCGTGGTGGGTACGTTTCCATTATCATACGAAACAAGTTCTGTGCCATGACTCTAAACAGGAAATCGTGAAACCATATGTGGCAAACAGAGTTTTCTCGGGAGCAATTGATCGAAAGCGCCCGGCTTACATCCAAATGGAGATCGAGCTTCCAGCCAATTCAAAATGCATCGTCTCTTACAATTTTGAGAGAGCTTTCCTAAGAATGGCCGAATACCCACCTGATGCGAATCATGGACTTTACATCCCGGCCGCTACAATCACACTCATGAAAAGGATTTCTACAGGTCTTCCCGAGGATAGCCGCTGTACGGAAAGGCTAGGCAACAGCTCCGAATGTGAACCAAGGGCAAAGCAGATGGTCTTTTCAAACGTTTTGCTAGTACCGATGCCAGTTCCCGACTTCAGTATGCCTTTCAACGTGATCTGTTTAGTTGGGACGGCTGTTTCTCTATGTTTTGGAGCTGTTCACCCCTTCTCAACGAGAATTTTGGTTCCAATCAACGAAAAACTTCCTGGACAATCAATTTGGAGAACAATTTTCCGTGGAATTCTCCTTGTACTGATGGCTGGCGCTTGCTACATGGAATACAACAACATCAGCCTGAACGCTCTTCGCCGAGAAATCGAAAAATTGCTCAGTTTTCAGTTTTAATTATCCTGAAATGTCGCATTTCTTGTTATACTCATTGTGCCAATCTCACTTATGCCCTTTATTCCGAAATTTTACGGGTTTTTGCTTAACTTTATTGTTTTCTAAGTCATTCTTGGATTGTATGTAAATGATCATGTTTGAAATAATAATAAACTAGGTTCGAAAATGTTGAAACAAGGAAACCGCGCTGCTCAATACAAGAACAATGGAAGAGCGGAACGATTTATGGTTGATCTCAGAAAGGTTTGGTTGAGCTTCGTAGTGAAGATTTCCATTTTAGAAATGTCTTGATCGTCTACGATTGAATCGAGGTGATTTATTGAACAAGAGGCGACAAATTGACATGGTAACCATTTTCACCCATTACAATGAAGGTATAGTTGGTTTTTAGGTGATCAAAGAGACTTGCACCGAACTTAGCAATGAGGAAATTGACAGCGATATGATCGAGCGATTACGTATCGAATTGTTGCAAGAGGGTTTGATTTCTTTTATGATCAAAAACGTCAGTGATATTAGAGTTTCTGGATATTCAAGAATTTGAGGTGGCTCGCGACATGGATATGCTTGAATCGATGAGTAGCAGCCAATCTTTGATGTGTCCGCTATGTCTGAAAGTAAAGAATTGTCTGTTTTGACACATTCAAGTTTGTGTTTAGTCCCCAGCTATGTTGCGTCATGGCAGACTGCATTGTAACTCGAATACATGCGGATTTGAATGTACCTTCTCGAGCGACATGGTAATTTTTTTAACAAGAGCTTTTATGCAAGCTTCAATTTTAGATGCCGGCTGAATCACAACTGCATGAATGGTTTTCGGCTCTTTTCACAAATCATTGTCAATCAGGATGTGTTGGAATTCCACGTGCCCAGCAAACTCAATCGTTGACAGTTTCTTGTTCACTTTGTGGTTACCATGCAACGTTTTAGGCATTTTTATTTGTAGAGATTTATTGCTGCTAACTATTTTTGTATTTTGTTGGACGGGTAACGCAAATAAATACGTGTAACGTTTGAAGCTTTATCAAGAAAGATCGCTTGAATGAGCGTAAAGTATTTGCACTGGTACGTTGTATTTGTTAAAAAGACTCTTGTTTTTGGTTAGATAGAATGGACCGACGGAAACGTGCTACTATTGGTGAAGCAGCAATGCCAAAACTTCCGGTTTGCGATTTTCCAAATTAACATTTTTCCAAATCTACAGGTGGTGGAGAAGGTGTTGTCCAAGCGCTTAATTGATGGACAAGTTCACTTCTTGATTAAGTAGGTTTTATGCGATGCAAGTATAAAATTTTATTTAGATGGGAGGGTGAATCCATTGAAAACTCAACGTGGGAACCCGAAGTAAATTTGTCGTGCAGTCACTTGATTGCCGAGTTTGAACGAGAGCGACGAAACGTTTGGAACTATACTTTGTCGGCAATTTATCTAATTTTAGAAACAAATCCAAAAAGTTGAGGAAGAAGACGAGGATAAAGTTGTGGATCGGATAGTCGGAATGTGCGAACAAAATGGAGAGCGTTATTTTTTGGTAAATTAAACTTTCTATTTGTTAACAAATTTATGTTCTAGGTCAAATACACAAATGACATGGCTCAACTGATGCCAGCCAAAATTGCCAACAAACAGCATATCGAAGCCGTTCTACGTTTTTATGAGGAAAACCTTCAATTTGCATCCTAATTGCTCACGATCTCAAGTTGTTACTCACGTGTTCATTCTTTTTCTATAGTATAAAGAATTTTATTAGGAATTGGTTTTAACAATCGCTGCTTTTGGTTTTTGAGATGTCCTTGTGGTGATTGTTCTACGGTTCACTAAAACGAATTCTGAGTCCATCTTCAAAATTATTTACCTTACCTTTTCCATGTTCGTTCATATTGTTCATTCGGTCTATTTTTGCAGACTTCGTCATTCTAAAATAAAATTTCCAAATAAAAGTTAGATTATACCACTAGTTTGTGAGTCTTCCTGGCTTCGCACATGATTTCTCGATTTACTTTATATATTGTCTTTCTAAACGAACACCGCAAATGGGAGAAGAGAGGCAAGACGGATCGTATGCTTTGAAGTCTCATTTGCACTCACTGGATGGTGATCACTGCATAAATGATTTTAACATGTTCCGATCGCCTAGACCATGAACATTATTTTTGACCAAATCAAATATCTACCTTCTGATAATCGCTGCTTTTTGGAACCTTCGTTATTTAACTGTGTCCTCTCTAAATTCAAACATTCTCAAAGCCAAACTACTGCCCGCACCTGTTTTCTTGTGTTTCGAAGCCTTTGGATCATCATCAGTTCGTTTTCGCTCCCTTATCTTTTGTGTCTCGAGACTTCTAAGCCATTTATAAAAACTAACTAGTTTTTGTCTGAGAAATTCATCGGAGTCTGGAATGCGGCGGTCTTCTGAAAGAGAATAAAATCATTGAAAAGTTCACAAAAGCCTTTGCATCTTCATCAACATGTGTGGATAGAGGAACGGTCGGGTCCTTTTCTTTATCGTTCTCCTCGTGATCCTCATATCCTACTCCCAAAGCGAACGGACCACACTCAGGAGAATCGAGGGGCATCGGGGGAATTTCCGGCACATCCACCTGAAAAAAAATAAATGACTGGGGTTTAGTAAAGTGAATAAACGACCTTTGTGTTCTGCGTCGGCAACTAGCCGTAGAGCCTTCAAAAACTACCAAAACTATTCAATATACCCCAATAAAGACATCAACCTATATATTGAAAAAAATAGCCAAAAAAAAAGCAAACTTACATCCGAAAAGATAGAATGGCTTTGCTTCTTTTTCTTCGTTAAGCACATCAATAGCGGTGTGGCCAGGATCGCTGTCAAAGCGAGATTCCACACCAGAGTTATACGCAATAGCTCGTTTAGCATTGACACAATTGCAATTTCTAAAGTGTTGCTTTTACAAAAATTGAAACCACGAACTTGCCTTGATTATTAGAGAATCGATAAACAGATGTGGAAAGTAAAAATGAACTTCAGCAAAAAATAAAAAGTGTACGGAAATAGGTATGCAAATTACAAATTTGCAAATTTTGCATTTAAATTTGAAAGTTGAGACTAAAAATCTAAAAGTTTGTCATTTCTATTCTTTAGCTTGATGCAGGAAAGTATCCTCCTTAATTGGTAAACTTTTGTTTTATTTGTTTTCTTGCTATTGTCTAGTCATTATCATTTTTCCACGCAAGTACGTGTTCCTTTAGTAAATTGCACAAGCTGACACCGCCGCGAAATGTGACTCCCACGGAAACGACCGGCAATCTTGACGAATTGGAGCTACGTCGTCGACAAAACATCATACAAATAGCTTGTGGAATCTTCAGCAAGTACGTTTTTTTCAAAAGATAAAGGTGAAGAAGCGTGATATTACTGGTTGCAAAGGTACAAGTCTTTCAGAAAAATGCTTTGTTTTCTAAACCGTCTGACTTTCGGGTTGATCCTTGTTCTTTACTTACCTAAATTTATATTTTGAGTTCATGTTCATCGTTATCAACGAATTGCATTCTCAATATTCCGCAACTTCTCGCCAGCTACTCATTGTTGACGAACGTCACTGATGCTACGGTGAACTTGGCTTTCTGATTCAAAAATAGAGACGGCTTTAGATTTCCAAACAGCTCAACAGCTCCCTTTTTGGTGCTAACGTGGTGATTCCGCCGACGTCAACGGAAATGGCGAAATTTTTATCGGAATGGTGCAATCAATTAATGCCAAATTGTAAGTTATAAGTTTGACTATTAACATTTCGAAGATTTGTTTAAAATTCCATAGCAAAATTTTACTTTAGATTCGGCCGCTCGTCGACTCATTGTTCATTCTGGTGCCGCCAAGAGCTACAGCTTTTCCACATTTCTCGTGCTAACGGATTTATTCTTTGGGATTAAGGTAAAGTTTTAGCAATAAATCATTTTAAAGACAAATGTGCAGATTTGGAAAGAACCCGACATGAACGAATGGCTCAAGAAGCAACTTGAAATTGTGAGTTGTGATTGTTTTTTTGACAAAAATTACATATTTTTAGGAATCCCCGGAAAACGTATTCACTCTTTGGACGGAACCAGACCCACCGAAAGACAAGGATAAAGCAACAATGTCACAAAAGTTAACAGTTATTTTGAATTGTCACTTTTTTACTGATGCTACTTCCTATGTTAATCTTAAATGTTCTTTTTATTGGTTAAAATTCGGTAGTAAAATGTAATTACAAATTTTTGGCAAAGGATTATTATGATTGAACTGCTTTAGGTTGCTGGCGAACGAGCCACACGCCCAAACACACTCCGTTGTCCAATCATCACTGGTGCCTCTTTATTGTCGGTTCACATCCCGGGAGTAAACTATCAGGATTACTTTCAGCTATATTTTGAGGTTTTTTTCAGCCATTTTTAATCAAATTCCCGTGTTTTAGGGTACAGATGAGATGGTGAGAGCGATAGAGATAAAAGCAACAAAACCGGATAGCATCAGTGTCACAAATTATGGTTTAATTTTCTACATCACCTAAAATGACATTTTTAGACCGCCACAAGATCTATTCAGTGGCAACGATGAGACCGGAGTTGACAATTTACATTTTCACAGAGGTATAGCTAAATATTTATTTATTAAACTGATTTAGTACATCGGTGACATGTTCATGCTCAAGGGACAAGTCATAGAAGCGCTACGATTCATCAATAATAACACAAGGGTGGGATTATTTATCGGATCTGGTATTGGTCAATTTTAGCATAATATATTTAGCAATTCTTGCCGGTCACCTCGTTGATAATGCCGATTTGGGATGACCCGGTCAAAGCTGTGAATATTGCCAGCTCGCTACAGGCAAGGGTTATCCTTTTTATTTAGCCTGTTTGTTTTAGGCCCAAGTACATGGGAATCCCTACAATACGAATGATCTTTTGTTTTGTATTGGAGCTTTCGATGATCTGGCACACGAGCTGAGGTATATTACTGCTTTGACAATAATATTAAATCATTTTCAATTTAAAATATATTTAGCGAGCCATCGACTAGCAATCCTCCCGCTATTCAACATTATGATTTGTTTCAAATTTCTGGAGTCTCCCCAAAGGCGTTTGTGTTTCAGTTTTTGCAGAAAGTCTTTATTTTTTAGTTGTGGAAACGCATTTGAGGTGCCGAATCAAGTTAAAGGTCGATGTCTTATTACGAGCCCATTCATGCTTGTTTTGATGGATCGAATCAGGGGTAAAAATTAGTTTTAATAGTCTCAATATTGCCTAAGGAAATACATAGAGCATTTGCAAAAAAACTTGTGGAATTCCGAGAAAGTCAAGATTTTGTTCATGAGTCAGATAAATACCATTCGTATGCCCAGTCAAACCTTTTTATCTTTTTATTCAGGCATTCCGATTGAGATGGCCTACATCGCCAAGCCGACACCTACTACTGAAAACAAAGAAGTGAAGGAACGAAAGAAATGTACGATTAGTTAGTTTTTTATTATGATTTGTTTGTACAAGATGCGGCAGGATTATTGCAACCGCCTCAGGGCATCAATTAGTTCCAACAACTATCTTGACATACTTAAGAAAGATCTTCTGTGAGCCAAAAATCACTTTGGCAACAGGATTTGGTGCTTTATGCAGGATGATATGCTTATGCTCATAAGGCTCGAATGGCTCAGGACTGGCACAAGCAGGATTTTCCTGATTTGGCCACCTTTAGTTGCCACTCTCAAGTCCCAATCTTAATCCGATGGATTTCAGTGTTTGGAATGTTCTTGAAGCAAAAAAGTGCTCAAGTGCAAAAAAGTGCATTCCAGCATCGATTCGCTTAAGAAATCTCTTCAAGCAGCATGTGCTAAACTCGATCCCGCTTACCATTTGGCTACGGTGGATGCATTTCCCAAATGTCACCAGGCCTGCATTTCTGCCCATCTTTTTAAAAGCAAGTAGTTTTTCTTGTTTAATATATCTTTAAAAATCAATTTTTAAAGTTTCTGAGTTGATTTCTCTTTTATCGGTTTCAATCCTTAAAAAATATTGGTTGCAATAATCCTGTCGCACCCTGTAGATTTAACTTTGTTTTTGTTTGTTAAAAGAGCCACTAATTTTGAATAGATTAATGCTTTCGGTGCTTTAGTGAAGTGAATAAACACTTGAAAACTCATTGAACATTTTTCGGGTGAAGGAATGATAAAAATGAAAAGTATTAGTAATCAGAGAAAATAAAGTTGTGTGTAATTAGCAGAAAAAGCCACAAACAGGTGGATTTGGTGAAAAAGTACGATCTCCTAATATCGAATGCCATTTTTTAACTACGGCATGGCGTCAAACACAGCCTGTCTATCAGCATTTTACTCCAAACACTCAGATGACTCTAACAATTTCATTAGAAGAACCACTCTGGCTTGACATTTTCTGGAAATCAAACGGCACTTTGGTACTTCTATTGAATGGTTGCGCAGCGTTTGTGATCTTTAAATTTGCGTCAACTGAAATGGCAGTTTATAAATATTTCCTCATGAACATTTTGGTAGGTGAAAAGAATTTTCAGCTCTTAGCCATGTTTAAGTTCTGGGCTTTCCTCTTGGATCTGTTTCTGAATTGGTACTTTTGCCCAGTGGCTCTTTTCCCTTTACCTGGCGGCTATTGCTCGATGACTTGCTTGATGGCGTGGACCCCGCAATGGACGAGATGGCCTGGAACGGTGCGTTTACGAAAGTTCTCGGTTTGAATGATTAAATTACAAAATTTTCTTCAGGTGACTACTTTGTTGATTCTCGAGAATTGCTCCGTCTCTTTGGTGATCTCATTTCTGTATCGTTGGTGGGCGATCGAGCCGACTGTTTGGTTTGCGAGAACGCCTAGGCACATGATTGGAGTGAGGATTTAACATTATGCCAATTTCCAATTTCATTACCAAACCCATAAATCAACAAGTCTTTTCATGATCTTCAATCATTTTCAGACCTGCGTCTTCTGCCATCTCACGATTATCATCCCAAATGCAAGCATCGTTTCACTGGCTAAACAACCAATGGAATGGCAATTTGCATACATCGTTAAGGTCTCTAGAATCTCTAGAAGATATCTTTCTCTTCCGGATTTCTCTTAGCACAATTTCAGAATTACCCCGATTATTCCTTCATGGTCAACTACTCGAACTGGATGGTTTTCCCGCTAGAAACGGTTGGTGTAATGATCCAATCTTTTGTCTCATTACAGTATATCGGAAGAAAAAGTTTTGTTCACTGTTCAGCCAATAAAACTGAAGTTACAGGAAAATCTTGTGATTAATTCTTTAAAGCTATTTTTTGCAACGTTTTCAGGTCGGCACTGGTGGTCTGATGGTGTTCATCTTGTGGATGTGGGCATTTGGAATTGTGTTGATGTTGGGTGTGGCTGGCTTTGGGATCGTTCAAGTTCTCGTCGCGCTACGGAAAGTCGGTTTAAGAAAGAAGAAGAGTTGAGATTGTTTTTTCCAGTACCAGGCGTTGATGAGCCAAAACAGTTACAAATCTCATCGACAATTCCTCATTGCGCTCGTCATTCAGGTAACCGAAAAAAATAAAGCTTACAAAGCTTACAATCAAGCTAAATGCACTAAAGCTTACGTCGAACCTTAAAGTTGTACTTTTTGACAAGCTAATCTTAAATCTAATTTTAAATGAGGCTGCAAATTGTTGAAGGCATGGCATTTTTTTTCCTTGTTTTTTTTTATCACTAATGAAAATACGGAAATTAGAAAAAAAAAGATTTTTATTTGTGGAAACCTAGCTTTGTGAAGTGTAAGGATTTCATTTTTTTTTTGATTGCTCAAACGGATCTCGAAGTTTTCAGGCTGTTTTCCCATTCACCGTTTATTTTCTGCCGGTCGCGATGGCGATGATGATTTTGGTGCTCGGATATAACGATATACAAAGTGAGTATTCAGAAAAAAAAGCTGCAGTACGAAGGGTTTAGATAAGATTTAACCCATACATGGGTACTAAAAACTACAAAAATAAACTATAAACACTTCTAACTTGATTTAAATCTACCAAATTGACATGATCTATAGCTCAAAAAAATAGAGAATCTTAAGAGCTTTCGAATCGACTAAAGTACATCCAAAAATAGGAATGCTAAAGAAAGTTACAGTGGTTTGTAGTTCTGACTCGATCGCTTTGACTAGGCGCGAGTACGGTCTATTTCGAATCAAGACTACAAACCACTGTAACTTTCTTTAGCATTCATATTTTTGGATGTGCTTTAGTTCATTCGACTTCTTTTTATTTACCTGTAACAACTTGAAGAAGTGATGGATCGAATTTGAGACCCTCCAAGTCAAGAATGTAGATCACTGAAGCCTGGAGCTCAAAAAATAAAGAAACTCAAGAGCTTTCGAATCGACTAAAGCACACCCAAAAATAGGAATGCTAAAGAAAGTTACAGTGGTTTGTAGTCTTGATTCGAAATAGACCTAGTCAAAGCGATCGAGTCAGAACTACAAACCACTGTAACTTTCTTTAGCATTCATGTTTTTGGATGTACTTTAGTCGATTCGAAAGCTCTTAAGATTCTCTATTTTTTTGAGCTATAGATCATGTCAATTTGGTAGATTTAAAGCAAGCTACAGTCATGTGCAAAAGTCTTTTAACACTCAATTTTCTAAAAAGTTACATCGATTTTCTCTGATAAAGTTCATGGCGCTCTTTAAGCTGTCAATAGTTTTAGTTACACAAATATATGTACAATTTATTTACACAAACGCTGTCGCTATACAAAACTTATTCATCGAGAAAAAAATATAATTGTCAAAACACCCCTGAAAATCGTGGTGCAAAAGTCTTTTAACACTTAAAAAAATTTTTGATTATTTTCGTTTGCTTCGTATTTTACTGGTACTATTTTATTTTTTTGAGATGCCAGGAGCGTATTTGTCAACTCCGGATAAAAAAAATGATCGTCGAGATAAGGAAGTAAAGAATGCCATGGCAAGACGTTGCTCGCCTCTTAGGATGTACGCCCACAACAGTTTTGTTTGTTACGGCTAAATGAATGCGTCTGGAAATGTGCACAGATGTAGGAAAAAGGACGACCGAGGATTACAACAAAGAATGAAGCCCGATTTCTGACGAAAAATTTCAAGAAGGATCCGAATTTTACGTTGAACGATGGAGTCATTCTTTTCAAGCAAACTTCAAACAAGAATATTTCCCGCTGGACCTTGCATCGACGCTTGCTTCAAGCAGCATTGCATACTAGAAGACCTGCTCGCAAGCCTATGATGACAGTCAAACACAGGAGGCAACGCCTTCAATTTGCTCGGACCTAATCAAATTGGACAATCAATGATTGGGCTCGAGTGATTTTCGTTGATGAAACAAAAGTTGATATTTTTCCTTCAAATCGAAATCACCTGATCCGACGTCCAGTCGGAAAGCGATATCAACTCAAGTACTTGTAACCTACAGTGAAAAGAGGCGCAGGATCAATTATGTGTTTCGGTAAGGATAGTTTTCTTTTTTATGCAGTCCAACGTGATTTCTTTAGGTGCGATGTGTAGAAGTTCAACAGGTCCGCTTGTCCTCGTAAAGTCAACAATGGATTCCCGCCAATATATCGAGATATTGGACAGATGTCTACTTCCATTTGCGACTGCTTCGATGAATCCAGGATGGTTTCTTTATCAAGATAATTCGCCAGTACACAAAAGCAAATTTTTGATGGGCCGCGTTGTGACTCTCTCGAATGGAGGAAAAGCACATTTACCGGGATGGTTTGGGATCAATCACGTTTCCTTGATCAAGGCTCCACGATTCTCACCGGATTTAAATGCTATCGAGAATTTATAGGCCTATTTGCGAGGAAAACGTTTCAATTCTAAAGTCGTGCTATGGTTTTACATCAGAAAAATTCGGAAGACGATTGGACCTGGGATTCTTCATGAATTAATTAGATCGATGCCTACTTGTATTAAAGAAGTACTTTTGGCAAGAGGAAGGCCGAGAAAATATTGATTATAGCTTAATTTCGTCTTGTGTTAAAAGACTTTTGCACCACGATTTTCAGGGGTGTTTTGACAATTATATTTTTTTCTCGATGAATAAGTTTTGTATAGCGACAGCGTTTGTGTAAATAAATTGTACATATATTTGTGTAACTAAAACTATTGACAGCTTAAAGAGCGCCATGAACTTTATCAGAGAAAATCGATGTAACTTTTTAGAAAATTGAGTGTTAAAAGACTTTTGCACATGACTGTAGAAGTGTTTATAGTTTACTTTTGTAGTTTTTAGTGCTCATTTCTAACCTATAGGTTTAATAGTTTAGAAAATGATTTAACACATTATTTGGGCGCTATTTTGGGCGTACAGTCGCGTAGTCGTAAATTTGATGGCGCCTGATAACATTGGAAAGATTTCGTCCATGATTACTGCTTTCAGCAACACCTAGCTTTGTTAAACTTGAAAGATTGATTCATTTTAGTGATCTTCTAGCATTTATAGTCGTTTTTCGTACTTTCTATCATAAACTTTCCCGTCTACCGTAACCCATTGCCTATACTCAAATCTAAAGCCTTGTTTAGATATCACGTACTACATGGTGGCTGTTTTCTGTATGCACTCGAATGTGAACGCTTTCGTGATGATTCTTGTGACGAAACCGTTCCGAAACGGAATCCTCCAAGCGATACCCTATTTGAATAAGCGATTCATTGAAGTGTCTTCGGTGCAAAACTCGCAAAATGGCTTGTCGAGAGCGTTGGCTGAAGAAGCTTCTGGGTATTGAGGGGATTATTGCAATACTTTCATTGAGAATCTTTCTGAAATCAATACAGGGTGCGCCAAAAGTTCCCGTACTTGTATTTTCTGCATTTTTGGTAATTTTAGATAATTGGGGCCATTTTTTTATGCCAAATATCTCGCGTTACAGAGCTCTTCCGGAAAAGTTAAAACCGGATTCGGAATCAGCGTAAAAAACTCTATCAGATAGGATTGGTCTCGTTCAAAAAGCCCACCTTAACTTGACAAAATTCCCTATTGAAATCAAAAATTCAGTAAAGTGGAGAAAATCTCGGAAAGTTATGGTTGTTTTTTTTAAATATCTATAAAAAAGGAAATTGCAAGGAAGAAATAAAGATTTTAAAGTAAAATGCAGATCCCTTTATTTCCCCGAATCCCTTTTTGAGAGAGGAAAAGGCTGGGGTATCCCATGATAATAGAGGCTGGCAGGGGGCCAAGCATTTCCCTCTCTTTCGCCCATTCCCATTTGACCCCCCCTTTTTTTTGTTGTTTCTTGAACCCCTTGGAACACCCTAAATCTCCCCTTCTTTCTTCTTTTCCACCCAAAATGAGTGACCCATTTTGACCTCTTTTCTTTGCACCTTTCTCTAGGCTTTTATCCGCCTACTCCTACACCAGAATCATTAGCTAGCTTTGATTACTTGAGAGTTGATAAAAAACACGAAAAAATTTAAAAAAAAGAGATGTTAATTTGAATGAAATAAATAAATTTGTTGAATCTTCTCCAGTTTTTCCTACCAGTTCAATACATGAAATGGATCGGCGTTGGGATTCGAGCCATCGAGGTAGAAGAGATCGGAACATTAGGCAAACGCAACCAATGAACTACACGTATTTTGGTGCCATTATGTCAGTCTTGATCTTGAAGCTCTAGTAGATTCTTGACGTTATCTGTGCTAGCCATATATTACATATACCATATCGTGTTGCTTTTTATCGGCCCTTTTTGTGTTTACGTGTATTAATCTTGATTCTTGCGCACTTTATGTATCTTGGGAGAAGAGAAAAAAAAAAAAGGGAAAAATAAAAAAAAATTTTTTAAATAAGGGAAAAGGAAAAAAAAAAAAAAAAAAAAAAAAAAAAAAAAAAAAAAAAAAAAAAAATAAAAATATATGTCGTAGCCGATAAAGGATTTCAGCCGATTAGGTCTGAGACTTCTTCGGCCAGCCGATTAGGTCTTAAAAATGAAATCTTGAATTATGTATTGACTCAAGTCAATACCACAAACTCCAGCTCTCTAAAAGGCGTTTAAAAGCTAAAAACGCGTTCTAAAGAGTGCGCTTTTTATCATACTGTAACCAAAGGCTATAAAAAGGCCCCTTTCGTCATTTTCTATATGATTCGTCATTTATTTGAAATAGAATTGTTTGTTTTTGTAAGTCAATTTGAGCCCTTTGTTGGATCATCGATAAAACTTGTTTACCACTAATCTGTTTATAATCGAACATAGCCCCTTATTTCATTCCTATTTTTTCTTTTTGTTACTGTGCTTTTTTTGTTTAAGCTACACTAATTTTTGTTTTTTAGGAATAGAGAGAGAATCTCTTTAGAATGCGTTTTTAGCTTTTAAGCGCCTTTTAGAGAGCTTGAGTTTGTGGTATTGACTTGAGTCGTATTGACTATAAGTCCAGCTTTCATTTTTGAGACTTCATCGGCTACGACATATATATTTAGAGTTAACAGAAACAACGGTGCTGTCCGTGGCATTGTTGTTTGAAGTACGCTCTACATCTTGTTAAATCTTGAAACATTCAACTCAGAAAGACTCGATTTCCCTCCAAAGCCTCGAAAGACATTTCTTTTGATCTCCCAGTTGGTAATAAATTGTAGGCCAACCGCAACATTTGTGCTCTTTTCTCGGCTTTTTCTCGACTCATCAGCCACACGGCCGTGTATCGGGGAAAAAAAGGTGAAAACAAAATAAAATATCGATTTGCGTTTTCGCAGTAACATTCGGGTTTTTGTGTTTTCAAAGTGTTATAGCAAAAATGTTTGGCGAGTTTTAGAACAAGAAGAAGAACAAGAAGAAGAAGAAGAAGAACAAGAAGAAGAAGAAGAAGAACAAGAACAAGAAGAAGAAGAACAAGAAGAAGAAGAACAAGAAGAAGAAGAAGAAGAAGAAGAACAAGAACAAGAAGAAGAACAAGAAGAGGTTAGAGAACTAGCACCATAAACGGATGTGTTAGTGGAATAGCCAGGTTTAATTACTCAAGTAAAACGATTTCTACTTTGTCGGTCGGTTTAATTGCCCAACAGGTCGTTATAATCTTAAAATCTTTACAATACACCGTTTTTTTTAAAACAATACCTTTTATCAGAGATCAAGAAAATGTCAGAAATATTCTTGGCTTAGCAACACAGATTTGCTTCTTCCGATCAATTGAATAGTGAGATTTAAATCGAAACCATTGCTCCACCATGGTCGACTGGCCCTAGATCTCACTAGGGAACGGTTTCAACTTAAATAAGCAATTCTTTGGTTGGGTTTTACAGATGTGTGGAAGTTATAACTGCCATAGGTTGATATGGCAATTATAACTTCCACACACTTCCACCATTGTCTTGTTATTGCTTAGAGGATTTAATATAGGATTTAATAAACTATTTTCAAAGTTTTTATTAATAAATTGCTCAAAAAGCCAAAAATTACTAAAAAAAATTTTAATTTGGTTGACAAAAATTCTTCGAATCCGCAGCGAGTGGATCCGAACCCACGACGAACGGACACGGGGGCGAGCAAACTAGCCACTACGCCACCGGGTTACCAGCAGGGCCCAATGTGAAATCAGTTATACCATCGAGCTTCAAAAATCTTTCGCACTCCCAATTTTCGGTTTTTACAAAGGTTAAAGGCTTAATTGGGTTGATTTTAAAACTGGGTTTTGCTCAGAATTCAGAAAATCAGATTCCGATGCACAAGTTGTAGTTGTAGTTGAATGTAGTTGAACTCAATGCTAAGTTCAAACAGTTCCCTAGTCAAAGGGTTCTTGGGTAGAGGGTAGAGGGTAGAGGGTAGAGTCAAGGGTAGAGATTTTTGTAACCTTCCAAAGCTTCGACGATTTTGTAAGCCTTGCACCGGTGTAGAGGAGAAAAACGAGTCGGTCCCCGGGGTGGGAATTTCTGCTGGATGGAGGGGATGGCGAGGGGAGAGTCGACATCTCCCCACATTGTGTCCGTTTTTCAGAGAGAGAGAGATAGAGAGAGAGAAAAGAGGGGTCAGTCATTCACTCTTCACTCTGTGGGTACCCGCAGCCTTACCCCTTCAAAGAGACATCGATTCCATTCTTCCGCACTCTTCCCCATCTTTCCCCCATCGCCTCCAATTTCTCCATTGTATACCCATTTTTCTTTTCATCTTTCCCCCCTCACCATTCCATTTTCCCACTCACTAGTTTGTTATTTTTATTCTACTTTTACCTTTCAGCGTTTCACTGGCCAATGGATGACTGAAGAAAAGAAAAAAAAGAAAAGAAAAAGAAAATCCTTAGATAAGATAGCTATTAGTTTAGAAATTCACCGTTTTGGAGTAGTACAATAATAAGAAATTTTATTCTTTCAAATTTCAGAAGCTCAAAAGGAAAGGAGAATTTTGTAGAGATTAAAGTAGACTTCGGCAAACAAAACCAAAACCAAAACCAAAACAAACCAAAACTCAATTTGCATATAAATTAACATGTAAATTTAAAATTGTAAAATGCAAATTTTAATGTAAAATGCAAATCTGGCTTTCACTTTTTCTCGCTCCACAAAATCTCGCGGCCGAAAAAAGGACCAAAAGACGACCTCGAAATTTCGAAACAAAAAATAGCCTATGGGATAGATTTTTGGATGCTGATTTCAAATCTGCAAACAGATTTTCGCTAGCTCCTCCCAGTCGCGAGATATTGGCGAGTTTTGGTTAGTTTTGGTTTTGGTTTTGGTTTTGGTTTTGGTTTTGTTATGGTTTTGGTTTTGGTAGTTTTGGTTTTGGTTAAGTTTTGTTTTCCGAGGTCTAGATTAAAGTCTAATTTAAAGAGATTAAAGTCTAAAATTTAAATTCTAAAAACTTTGAATACTTTTTCGTTTGTTTAAAGTCTTTCTGGTTACAAGTCTAGCCTGGTTACAAGTCTTTCTGTTTACAAGTCTAGTCTTGTCTGATATTCTTTTAAAAGATTCACGATGACACAATTTAATAATGAGAAATATTTTTGGTGTCAAGTTTTTAAAGATTTTGTTATATTTATTTCGTGAAAAGTTCTCGGTAACTTTGTACTTATGTACAGGTTTTCAAAGAAATAAAATTTAGACCTATTGAATGACTAAAATAGTTTCGTTTATTTATGTTTAATTTACGGTTTAATTTACGGTTTAATTTACAGATTAATTTATGGTTTAATTACAGTTTAATTTACGGTTTAATTACAGTTTAATTTACGGTTTAATTTACGGTTTAATTTACGGTTTAATTTATGGTTTAATTTACAGTTTAATTACAGTTTAATTTACGGTTTAATTACAGTTTAATTTACAGTTTAATTTATAGTTTAATTACAGTTTAATTTATGGTTTAATTTACAGTTTAATTTACGGTTTAATTACAGTTTAATTTATGGTTTAATTTATAGTTTAATTACAGTTTAATTTATGGTTTAATTTACACTTTAATTTACAGTTTACTTTATAAAAAGAAACATCATTAAAACAGTTAACAACTACGCGATTGTACACCCAAAAATGCCAAAGAATCACAAGCAACGATGACTGGACTTTTGTGAGAAAAGCTAAACAAAGAAAACAAAGAGATCGATGGTGATCGATAAACCAAAGCAGAATTAGGTGCCAAAAGTTGGTGCTAACTGCTGTTTTGGTTGGTATCTGGTAACGAAAGCTGTTTTGGTTGGTATCTTCACTAGTTGTCTTGACCGATAGCTCAACTCAAAGATTTTCTCGAGTTTTCTAACTAGAGAACTGCTTAAACTTTGAAGGAAACCTCAAGAGTCAGAA